CACAGACGTGGGTTACATAGACACTCACAGCATAGATAATCACACAAACTCTGATGTAAGATATCAAAACAACACCAGCACTTGCCTATGCTGTACTGGCCTGCATTTTGCTATAGTCATTGTTCCATCAAAGCTTATGAAATGAGTTAAAAAACATCAACATTTAGATTAGAAACATTTCTTGGAGCAGTGGTTCCCAATATTTGGGGCTTGAGATCCACCCGGAAAAGCATCATGAGACATTTTAATCGTGCAAGGATTGATATTTTGATCACTGTACAGTAGGAGTGGTTTTTGTTTGCTTAAAGGACTAGAAGTTACAATCCCTGGCAAATGAGCACAGCTTTTGCCTTTAGTGGGTTTGGCGATATCGTTTTTTGTGAGATGACTTTGATGGTGACCGCTTAGTGATGTTTCCACCAACACGATACATCTTCAGTTGTATACCCCAGCTTCATTGGGTGTTTCGGCCTTTGATCACAAGACACCCTCAGCTGAGGTCGGCCCGCCCCAGGCCAAGTGGACCTGGGTGTGTGTCGTGTCATCATCATCATCATCATCATCAACTTTGTTTATATAGCACATTTATCCCAGCCATAGCTGCCCAAAGTGCTTAACACAGTGACACATCACAACCGTATTAAAATCAAAACACATAGAAACAACACAATAAAATACACCGGCGATAACATAATAACAATAAACAAAACAAATTACCAACATCCCCTTACAACAACCCCCACATACAGCATTAAAACAAGGTACCCCAACATGACACCGCCTCATACCGGCTCAAACGCCCAAGGGTAAAAGTGGATTTCCAAATGCCTGACGATAAAAATAAGTTTTTAAATAGACTTTAAAAGTGTCCAGTGATGAGGCCTGCCTAATGTGGAGAGGCAATGCATTCCACAGTTTAGGGGCCCCTGCCGCAAACGCTCTGTCCCCCCTAAGTCTTCGCCTCTTTTGTGGAACCTCCAAGAGCAGCTGATCAGCTGATCTGATCATGGTGACTAAGTGGTTATTTGGCAGCCAACAATGTCTTCTTTCGTTTCAGCCACAGCCAGTGACTACTTCTTTTGGTGACACTGGCAAGTTCCTTAATTGCCTTCTGTTAGGTCTGCCCCCTAATGCCCGCTTCCTGCCGCTGCCTTGTAGAGGAACTAGCTACAAAGCCCCTGCAGCCCTCCTCCACTTCTCCCACTCTTCACACCTTCACCTTCCAGCCCCAATCCTCTGCCTCGGCTCCTAAGTTGGCATACCTCAGCTTTTTTCTTTGGTGTGCCTCAACAATGGTATCCTCCCAAGGGACTGTCACGTTAGTGACAAAGACATGACTGCAGGAGTTGGAGCAGAAGATCAAATCTGGTTGCAGGTTAGTGACTGTGATTTTGGATGGGAAGGTGAGTCTCTGGCCTAGGTCGACTCATATTTGCCAATCCCTGTATGTATTTAACAGGCATGGGTATTAAGATGAATCATGCTGGTTGAGGGAAGGTAAACTGGGCATTAATGGGTGGCGTACGATGACACTCTCTTGTGCTCGGGTGCTCAGTACTTGATTGTGGCACCATGTACCTTCCTTGTGTTAAGCTGTTCTTACCTGTACATCCAACCAGGATGTGTTTGAGGGTTGCCAGAGCTGCACACTAGAGACAGCCTGGATCCTCTCCATGCCAGAGATGTAGATTTGTTGGCGAGGACAGCACAACATATGTGGCTTTGAGATGAAACTCAACCTGTTCATTTTCATGTTCAACAGCTTGCTTCATGTGATTTTGTATCCCACCTGCCATCCCACCTCATCCAGCAACCTTGCTGGGCTTGGGAGGCGGCTCTGGTACAACTGGCTACTTCCTCCTGGCAGTGCACCCCCTCTACCACCAGATGCTGGCATTCATTTGGTATAGCCTTTAGTCATGTGGGTGTTGTTGCTTCCAACCCAAGTCTTCCTCTGCCATGTTGAACTTGTCCCACTGTGTCCCAGTGTCTGAAGGCGGTCTTCACTTCCACAACCGCCAAAGCTGAGGTGTTGACAGAGTTGTTACTCTTCAAGAATGCTGAGAGTCTTTGAGCCACAACACTGAAGAAAATCTTTGCTTCCACATTCAGGCTACTAATGTGTCTGAACTGGCTGGTTGAGGAGTTCTTCTCCTTGGGAATCAGGATTCCTCTGCCCTTCACCATGCCTTTGGTATGAATTCCTTTTTCCATGGCACTTTCATTAACTTATGTATATTTACATGTCCAGCAGTTACAGAAGGACATTATCATTCAGTGTGTTGTCTCCACTTAAGTAATTTAATTTGAATTGTCTCTCTCCTTTTCATTCTCTTCTAATCTCCACAAACTGAGGGAATTATGGCTCTTTAGCAGCTGAGTTATGTTCACCAGCTTGTCATTAACTGTGTCTGTCTGCTAGTACCAGGCTGGTAACATTTTTTCAGAGCATATTTTGCTGAAAACAACTCCTTGCTGCTGAAAGACACAAGAACTGTTCTGTAGAGCTGAGAGGAACAGCAGAGTCAGGTGATAATTATCTGTGGTTGTGTCACTACACAGTCATGATTCCATATAAAAATACTGAGTAGTGCAGCTTTAAGGCTGTTTGGAGGTCTGAAGAGGTGTTTCACAAGTAAGTATTTCATCAGAATACAAAGAAAGCCATAAAAAAAATAAATCAAATGTTGTGTAACAGAAATGCTGTATGTGATTTCCTTCGTATCCTTTTGTTTTTGTAACTTTTTAGGTTCTCCCTGTGGAGTCCTTGGTTTGGATCAACTATCCTGGAGAAACACTAATAGCCTGATTGCTGTTATATATCAAGTTTGGGCTTTTGAACACCTTCACGTATTAATAATCCAGATCAGAGTAGGCAAGAAAAACATTCCCTCAGTAGAGTATTGTGCAGCCTATATTTCCTTCCACTTCCTTCCACAGTGATCCATAAATCCCAGTGCATCCTGCCACCAGTAAACTTCCTCTTTCTGGGCATGACAACTTTTCAATTGATTTTACTGAACTAATTTGTAAAGCTCGACATCCAGAGTAAACTGCCACTGTGTGAGATCAGATTTAGGGAAATGTGTGATACTATGCTGTCTCTTCATCATCATTTATATTCAGCTCTGCAGCCAACAGGAACTTTGCTCTGTATCACACCATCAGTCAGCCTTCACAGTTGTTTCTACAAATGCTGCCTCACCGCAGCTTACCCAACGTTGCTACAGAAACCATAGCAACATACTTGACATGTGTCCCTTCTGCACTTATCACTTCCTGAGGAAACTCTCACCTCATTGGTTCTTTCCTGAATGATCGGATGTTCTTATATTATTACTGCAGGGACATCACATGTGCCTTCATCCAAAAACAGTTTTTATTACTGGAATATACTGTAAAGTGTGAAGAAACATGAATATTTGGGCATAATTTTACTTCTTGTGTATTTAGTGAAACAGGCACAAGACCCCCCACCTCCCCCCAGCCTTTCCTCACCTCTTAAGACTAGCATAAGCAATGTGTGGTCCAGACTCTTGCATACCCTTAACGAAACATAAACTAATGCAATGCTTCTGAAATTGTGACAAACTGTCTGTGTGAGTGTGTGCGCACATGCGTTGTCTGGGACGTCATCTGGATGCCTGTGAACCTCTCTGTTTATAGCAGACTCCATTAGAGAGCATATGTCCATGTTTAGTTAATATGTATACAAAGGGCATCAGATTTAGAAAGTTTATTACAAAGTTATTACAATTAGAAAGTGTCCTCTCACTCCCTGATATGTTCTTTTCCCTCTGTTCCACCATTATTCTAAATTGAAAATGTATGTATATTTCCCTCCTCTGTCCTCTGTAGTGCATTTATTTTGTCCTCATATTCCCTCGCTGCCTCTATCTGTGAACTGAGGGGGTGGATTGAGGGGACATAGGGCAGATGTTTCCTCCCCAGCTTTGAAGATGCTTGTAAAGCTGGAGGGAGAAAAAATGGGAAGGGTCCACATGCAATTTGGGTGTTTTATGGGGAAGGTCGCACGGCAGATAACAGGCTCCATTCTGGCAGCAGCTTTAGAAATGGTAGCTCACTTTCCAACCCTCTGCCACAACCACAAACCCTGAATGTCAAGCTCACATCTCATTTAAGCAGAGCTGCTTTACATTTTACATAACTAACACAACTAATGTATCAAAGAGTGATCACTGACAGATTTTGCTAGATGTTTGTTTGCCTCATCAAACTGAGCTTTACGTGTTCAGGGGTTTACGGTCCATATTTACACAAAGAGCTGCAATATGCTGCCAGAAGTGTTCATGCTCCTGAAAACAATAGTTTGACTGTGCACTGCATCTCTCCCTCCAGCTGTAAGGGTGTGACAGCTCAGATTGCTCTTCTTTGGCAACATGGATGTCTTAAAGCTACACATTGCCACCGTGTGGTTTAAGAAATCACTTTGTGAAATGATGCTCAGGTTTGACAGCCCTATAACATGGACAGCAAAATAACAAGAATTTCTAACATTAAGGGACAAAAAATTTACTTTCAGGGTGGGGGGGTCTGAACCTTTTGTTTCACATTTTTAAAAAAAGCAAGGTCCTCCATAGCATCATTTGTACATTAACAGTAAAATAGGAAAATCTGAAAATCACACACTAGAAGAATATACTG